TCTTTTTCTCCTTAAAAACACTCGTGATTAATGAACGCCCCCTAGATTTTGTTGAAAATCTTTTTTGACGATTTTAATGATACTTTGCATAATTTCAAGGTTCAGGGTCTAATTGAACATAATAAAATATTATAGGCCTACGAAACGAAGTTTCTAAGGATAGCAAGGATAATTTAATCTTATGAGTATACTCTAATGTCTAGAGGTCTGTTTTCACAAGCCCGGCTAGCTCAGTCGGTAGAGCATGAGACTCTTAATCTCAGGGTCGTGGGTTCGAGCCCCACGTTGGGCGAATATATTTTATAATTTTTTTATGAATTTTCAAACATTTTCATATCATTATTTTATTTTCTTTATTACATTTTATTTAGTTAATTATATTTCCAGAACGAGTTTGTCACGGCTGCTTCGTTTTACGAATTCTCTGAATGCCCTGGGTCTAAGTGAGACTGAACTAGGACTTTTCTCATCGTTAGTTCTGATCGCCCCAGACAGGGCCGGAATTAGCGTCCACAAATCAGTCACAAGGGTACGGGAACGTCTCACTGAAGCACTAAGAGTGCAGATATCCAGGACCAGACCAGGAGAACTGAGTCCTCTCTTGCCAATTTTAGAGGCCAAATTACCAGAATTAAGAGTTCTTGGATCGAGACATTTCGCATCTGGATTGGTTTAGGGGAAACTGGACAAATTTAAGATTGCCACCGCTTTTTGCTGAGATTTTTGATATACCGAAGTGTGAAGATGATAATTGAGATTAGAGGTATTTATGTAGTTCTTTAGAATGTTGGAAGATTTAAATTGTAGGGTATTTTATCTGATCTTGAGGTTTCAATTGAATCTAAATATAAAGATACATAAATAATTTTAAATTTAAATGGGGAACTTGATTTGTTGGTCAAATAAAGAGATTCACACATTAATTTTAAATAATCAAACTCATTAGATTACAGTTAAATTTTTTAAAATACTCATTAAATTATTTTTTCTATTTCATTAGTCATACATTCATCCCGAGGGTAAGTTATTGTAATCGTCCAAAAATCGAAATTGAAAATTTTTACAATTTATTTACGTTTTGAAGGTTGAACAACATGTGTGTGTGTGTGTGTATGTATGTATGTATTGGATACAATGTTTCGTCCACGTTTTCGGGCGCACTGATCAACCGATTTGAATGGTTCAAAAAACATTCGATTCCTATTGATAGGGAGATCTGCTGATTAGATTTTGGCAATGCAGATCCAGCCGATATGGAGATAAAGAGCAAAGAGTGCAGAAAATAGAAATCGTTTTTTGAGAGAACGGAGCATACGATTTGAATGATCTAAAAAACATTCAATTAGTAATGATTGGGAGAAATGGCTATTAGTTTTGGCAAAGGCAGGCCCGGCTATTTCGAAGATACAGAGCTAAATAAACAAAAAATGGCAGTTTTTGAGAGAAATAAGCATCTGAATTGAATGATTCAAAAAACTTTCTGCTTGTGTTGACAGAACACTTGCTTTTGAAAAAAAATTTTTTTGAATATCGAAAATAAATCAAATATTAATTGTTTTTCTAGCTAAAGTTCTAAAGCTCAATAATATACTCAAAATAATTAATTTTAACTCTGCAATTCAGCTTATATAATTCATATAAATATTAAACAATACCGATTGATTAAGTTTGTTTTTTAATTTCTGCAAACATATATAAGTTATATTAAAAAACTTTAAAATTCATCTCCAATATTTAATTACGGTATGGGAAGTTCCAGCAATTTGGCTTCACACGAGTTTTAAGATTATTTACAGATTATACTATACATATTATACTTTTCAACGTCATTGATATTTTTTTTTAATATTATCATTTTATATTCATACAAGATTATTAATAATTTTTTGACTAGAAATTAGTTGTTTTTTTTGTTAATTCAACAATAATAAAGTTTATATTATGACTAAGCATTTGAAGATTTGGACTATATGATGAAAATATAATCCTAACTAATGAAATAGAAAAAATAATATGTATAAAATGCCACTACTGACTTATTGATAAAAATATCAACAAATTTCCATACCATTTGACTATTTTTGATCTATTAAAATATTCATTTTATTAGATCTAAAGTGTGAGATATTAATAATGGTGTTTAACAGAATTTGCATGCTCAATTAAAAATCATTGGATATTAGAAAAATATTTATATTAAATTATTATAAAATTATTTATTATGAAGATTCTATTTATTACAAAGCATTTATTTAAAAGTGTTCATTATTTATATGATATTGGACGATGAAACAAATAAGCAATGATAATGTGCGCAATATTAATAGTAGGCTAAATAGAAATTAAAGAAGAGTTAATTAGACAATTTATTAGCTAGATATGATTTGTCGTGATATGATCAACTTGTTGGCCAAATTTTGGTAGTTTTGGTTCAAATGATAATATTTATAAATATATTAGTTATTTAATGGATAATGTTTAATGTGTATGGCATATCATTCCACAAGAGCTTAAAGCTTATATAAGTAAAATTTAAGAATTCGATTGTTGATGTATATTTTTATGTTTATGAAAAACAGGGTTACTGGAAATTGTATTGATTGTATTGCCCCTCATCACATTTTCATAATAATTAAAAATCTATCTACCATAAATGATGTAATATATATAGTTATATTTTGAAAGCAAAATTTCTTCAAATCATTTCATTATTTGATAATATTGATCATGAATTTACATTTTGTTTTTAATGTTTTTTTTCTAGAGGGGCATATTATATTTTTTGATGATAATACAATATTAAGATTCAGATAATATATATGAAATGATAGGCGATGAAAAATTTAATAAATCGCAAAAATCTTAGAAAAAACAGACTGAATAATTTTAATAAATTAATATTAGAATTAACATAAAATTAGTATAATATTTAAATAAGTATACTTTGTTAATTTATTATAAATAATCTAAGTTATATAAGTAAATTGAATTATAGAGCGCTTCAAAACTTTTTACCATCAAGATTGAATTTAATTGAAATGCGTACGAACTAGTCCCAAAATTTTAAAATTTAATTCTTGTCCCAAAATTTTAAATGAGTAATTAATATGTAGTTAGTTCTTCATGTATTTTGATGTAAAATCAAATTTTCGCACAATATCCAGTGCAATTAATTTATTTTAAAATAGCCAAAATAAATGGATTATATGTTTGGCATTTAAAGATTAAAAATGACAATTTAAAGTTTCAAAATCAATTTCTGGTACATTTCAGTAGATTAATAAGTACAGTAGGAAATGGTCTATTTATTATTTTCACTTTTACCATTTTTACTAATGATATGAAAAACTAATTACTGAGCACAAATTACCAATTCTCTAATTGAATTTTATACAATGTCAATTTTGAACATTTTATATTCTTATGAATATTTGTTTAAATAATTTCATGGTTTATTTTTATGTCATGATTTTTGAAGCGCTACAATTGTACCTATTTAGAAATAAATTTACATATGTCTTTTAATCAAAAATGTTATCAATAATAATGCTATTGGACATCAAATTTTAACCAAATTAGGCAAAAAATCAATAAAATCAAAAACACATGTTTTTGTGTAGAAAATCATAGATGTGGTGCTAAAAATGTCAATCATTCAAATTTAATCAATTGACTTCCTATCAGGTTTAGTTGTATGTTAATAGAGAGATATCTGATCCTATACCAACACATTATATATATATATATATATATATATATACATATATATATATATATATATATATATATATATATATATATATATATATTGTAACAATAACTAAAATAGCATTTGTAACATTGTGCATTTCTATCAATGTTTTGTTAATGTGACCACGAATGTATATTCCTAAATACTAAATATAAATATATAAATATTTGATTAATTAAATACATTTAGTTCATGCAATTTTTATCAATTAATTTCAATTCATGACAATCTGGTTAAACTCATTTTTTCGTGTGGATGTATAATATGAGATAATAATTGTAGAATGTTATTAAAGTATCTTCTGTAAAAAGCGACGATTGTTGATGTATAAAGTTTACAAATTTAGATAAATTCTCTAACTATGAACATTATAATCATTATATATGTAGATTATTTATTACACTTATATATATTTATGTTGGAGTGGCTTTGAAAGACATTTATTTGTATTTATCTACTTATGTTTTGTATTTTATGTTTTTATATAAAATATATAAATTAAATTTTCTTCTGTTTATTTTGAAAACAAAATTACAAAGTGCATGAATATATTTTTAACTTTGTTTGTGTGTGCGGATACAAATTTTCGTCGACGATTTCGGGAACACGGTTCAACCGATTTTAATTATTCAAAAAGCATTCGATTGCTATTGATAAGGAGACGTGCTGATTAGTTTTTGGCAAAGGCAGGTCTAGCCGTTCTGAAGATACGGGGCAAAAAGTGCCAAAAACGGTAACTCAGTTTTTAAAAGAACGGAGCGTCCATGTTCAATATTTCAAAAAACATTTTACTTGTATTGAAAGATGAAAAACTGATTAAATTTTTGGGAAGGCAGGTCTAGCAGTTATGGACTCTCAATAAAAATAAATTGAAAAACTGACATTTGGCGGTCAAAAATGTTTATTGGACATATGCACATCAAATTATCAGATATATTGTAGAGATTTTAATAATGTACAGATTTTGTGTAATTTTTTTTGGGTTCCGTACCAAGAATTTTAATTACGGTACGGGAAGTTCCAGCAATTTGCCTTAAGGCACGATGCCATGCATCCTACTAGTTTTGAAAACAAAATTATAAAGTGCATGAATATATTTTTAATTGGTTCATGGCTAATCATATCCAATAAACAAACCTTTATTATATAGTGTAGCCGTTGTTTAAAAGAGGGTGCCACAAGTCCGTTTGAAAATGTAACACGCCATTCTGCAGAATCTACTCTCGACAATTTTAGTTGCGTTGGATTTGTAAGCGCGCCGGCTTGATTTAATATTTTTATACAAAATTTAATATAGGTATGATCTGCAAAAAGTCAGTGACGATTTTATATTTCTAAAAAATTAATTATTCCTTCGAAATGAAATGCGATTACAACATTGTGGACTGTTCTAATGCCGGATGTGATTTGTGATTGTGTGAAGCTGCCATGTTGAATATTGGTTAACCCGTGCTTCTCTATAATTATTATAAAGAACTTGGTAAAAGTATTTACTAGTATACATCATGAGAAAATCAGTAAATATTGTTCGAAAGGTATTGAAAGTTGAAACATCTTTAAAGTCGTTAGAAATGCTTGCTTAATGCGATACAAGTATTAACCGTTTGTCAAATGGAAATGCTTCTTATTATTTTTTGTGTGTTTCCCGCGTTTTCCGTGACAATTTGATTTTTATTTATTTAGAACATAATGGGAATGTATGAGTTTATACTAATTCATTGTTTTATAGAAATACATCTTTAGTACTCGACTAACTTTCATTATGAATGGTTTAACCTAATTTCGCTTGTACGTTTTTGCTTGCTTCTTATTGTATTCTTGCATAGTATAAATCTTGACAGATTAATTATATGTTCAACATAACACTTTTATTTTTACTTTATATAAATATATAAAAATATAAAGGGTATATATTTATACATGTATGCATATTCTAAACAGTTCAAAATCATTTACATAATTGCTACAACATTTATGACACAATTTTAACCCCACTTGTATTTGCATTGTGTATTTATATTTATGGTGTATTTTCTATTTATCTGCTGTTTAATAGTAACTATTTCAGCTTCACAAGCTCTCATACATTATATATAGTATAGTTTTTAGTTCATTTTGTACAGTTTCATTTCGCTTTTAGGCCTATCCACCACAACAGAGTTCTGACATAAATCGTAGAGTGATAACAAAAACCATGCCAGCTCAAAATACTAGTTCCACAGTCCCTCGCATTCTAAAGCAGAAACCAGCATGTGAAAAATGCTTTGTCTGTGATGGAGATATTGAAACTGTCGGATTTCCATTAATTGTGACATCTACACTTTCAAGTAAAACATCATTACCTAACAAAATTGGCAAACTTATGGGAGATGGCTTTATGGTCATTGTGTCCATGGATGATGTAATATGTAAGAGGTGTTCATCTTTGTTCAATCATATGGACAGGCTTGAGACTGACTTGGAACGAGTTCAAAACACTCTCTCTGGGTACCTTAAAGTTAAATATAAGATCAGTGATGATGATATTGAAAAACCACCAGCAAAGATGTTAAAAATGGAGCAGAACGAAGATTTAAATAACATTTTAGAAGCAAGTAATAATGCCTCTGTAGAGGTTGAAAACCAATTATCCAATATGTTTGGTTCGCCTGTTAAAGTTTCTCAGAAAGATGATAGGACGAGAACAGTTAGACTTTACAAATGTGCTTCATGTAATTTCAAAACGACTGATCTACAACAATTCCAACCTCATTACGAAAAATGTTCCAAGAAGAATGTAAAATCGAAAGAAAGTGAACATGTTAGTCTTAAAACTTTAGAAGCACAAGGTGCTGCTCCAAAGGTTGATATCAAAAAATTTTCTTGCAATATTTGTAACTTCAAAATCAATGACAAACAAGCATATGAAGAACATATGAAGAAACATGTTAATCTAAGGCCTTTCAAATGCAGAGTGTGTTCTCAAAGATTTGAAACAGGGAACAAGCTACGACACATGCTAGGACACATCAACCTGATTATTTCAAATGTGGTATTTGCAATCTGCCTTTCCCAAAAAGAGAGGCATTGGTTAAACATCTGGAAACTCATGAAACGGCTAAAACTAATATTATAACAGTATCAACATCCACACCAAGCACCAACTCAACGCAAAAACTTCTACAGGCGTCTATTGAAGAAGCTTTAAGAGACACAGCAAATGAAGCAGAAGTTCCAGCCAAAACTGTAGATAATAAGGGCATTGAATTTTACTCCTGTCAAACATGTTCCTTAACATTCTTGCAAGAAAGTATTTACACACAACATATGAAGCAGCATAGAGGTGATGGAAAAAAGATTGGTCAAAGTTTAATAAGGCAAGATGTTCGAACAAATAACACAAGTATTTTGAATACCCAAAGCACTGAATTGCGAGATGGTGATTTGGAAAGCATTTTTGAAAAAATGCATTCTGAAAAGACAGAAGTTCCAGTTGTTGTCACTACTACAGCCAATAACACCTTAGAGCAAGTTACATTTAACATCAGCATTCCACAAGATGTAGACGCATTGGATCCTGAGCAGCAAATAACAGCTAGCACAATACGAAAACATGAAAATGTTCTAATCTTCAAATGTGAAACTTGCAACGAAGCTTATGGTGACAATGATCATCTGAAATTACATTATGTGACTTCTGGACATGGGCCTTCACATTCTCCACCTATGCCAATTGACATGCCAAATCTGGATGAACCTGAAGCAGAATCTAGCAAGAAATCAGATTCTGATGCTACAGCACCAGAAAATGTTGAGAAACCTGCAACCCCAGAAACTAACAGCTCTCAAAATACTTCTGATAAACCTGCTGAAGCAATGCCTTTAGAAGAACACCGAAGTGAATCTAACACTGATCCTGTGCCCATGGAAGTGGAAAATATGAATCCTGAACAACCAGAATCAGGAGAGATCAAATTGATGTTGGATTCAGATAATCAATTGATTACGAGTGACGGTCAGATTTTACAATTGGACAATCATGTTCTGACTGATGCTGATGGCAATCAAATTATAACATCTAGTGATGGGCAAATTCTAACAGTACAAGGAGCTGATAACGAACAGTTGCAACAATTGTTACAGAGCGTTGGTGTTGTAGTTCAACAAGAAGGGGGCGAAGAAGAACAGATGCAAATGCAATTAGATGGATCACAAGTTATTATTGTACAAACTGATGAAGGAGAGGTAATATAAATGTTTATTTTATTTATGAATAGCTGATTTTAAAATCTTAATACCTTAATATTAAGTTCTCTATTTTTTATACTTTTAATATTATTTGGCAGGTTCAAATGACTTTAGAACAAGCCCAAGAAGCAGGTATTGATTTATCACAACTAATGGCTAAAGATGATAGTGAATTAGCAGAAGGCGAAGAAAAAGAGGGCATGGCTTTCAATTTAGATGAACTTTGCCAATTACAGAAGGTGAAAACTCAGAACAAGCTCAAGCCATGACTGATGAAATGGAAGAAAAGGTACTATAAATTGTAATTGGGAATTTGATTAAACTTTTGTTTTTTCCAGTATTTATTTTGCAGTTTTTAGTATTACTTATAAGTTAACTTTTACTATTTACTTTTGTTAATAATATTCTTAATGTCATTAACCTATATTATTGTTTCAGTGATTTGAATTTTTGAATACAATCAAATGAAAAATGGAAGCAAAGGTGAAAATGTCGTATATTTATTCAAACATAAGAAGAGGCAAAATGAACTTTTTATATATACCTATTTTTTTATCAAATTCTTCTAAATCGAGATCAGAATGAGAATGAAAGTTTAACTTTCCTATGGTATGGTTCTAATAACAGCAGACAGAGCTTGAACATTATTTTTATAATCTATTCTATGAAGACAAGATTCTAATTTACACCTTCTGAGTTGATTTCTTAGAAAAAAGTTTTGTTGAAAGGACTACTAAAATCAATGTAATATAATAAAAAGTATAAAATCTTTTAAGTAATTTGCTTTCATTATAGTTCAGTAATAATATTAGTTTTTTAATCTATAAGTTAAATCCAACATATAATATAAGAATTACAATGTAAGGAATATTTAGATAAGTTTTTTTAATGTACATAAAATGAATTGGATCGTCTATTTTGCAACAAAAAATTGTATTCTGGTGTTTATTTGTTATTGATTAATATGGCTATGATGACATTATTTAGTACTAATATTCTTTAAAATGTTATAATGTACTATTTAATTAATTTGACAAATAAATTAAACATGGCTAATGGATTGTTTTTAGTTTAGAGTTGATTTTGTGGAAATTCCTATTCAATATTTACAGTTTTGCAGTTCTGTAACTATATGAATCAATATAGCAGGTAAATAATTTGTTTGCTTCTCAATTTATTTGTTTATATATTTTCTTTGTGCTTCATTTTTTTTAAGAAAAAGTGCATAATCCATTATTACTTTATAAAAAAAAAATTATTATTCTGTAATCATCATTAATATTGTTATTCTATATTTAAATATTGTTCTTGATGATGGAACGTACCTAGTTCCGAAACGTCGTAATTAGACATTTGCAAAACAATTATTGTTTTTAATTTATTGAATTAATTGTTTGGAAAAGAAACCATTATCAATATATTCATATATATGCAATTTGAATTGAGTGAATTTTAAAAAAACATGGACACATTTTTCCTTTCAATATTTTATGTCAAAAATTCGTGGATATATATCAGTGGATAATCAAAAATACACATTTTTCCTTTCAATATTTATATATATATCCATGACAATCTTGACAGCTGATTAATAAATTAATTCGCCTGACTATATGCATCTAGTCGTACAAAACGCCATTGAAATCCTCGAATTTCTTCTATCGTCCGAAAACGAAAATTTGCTAACTTTTTGTCTTTCGGAGAGCCGATTTCTACCAGGGAAACAGACACGATATTACTACCGGCAAGGGACGCCGTGAGTACATAATCACGGTGCGTGTATCAGGCGAACAGAAGCTTTTTTTTCGTGGAACAAAAATTCAAACAACACAAAATAAGTACAGGGCAGGTTTGTAAAATGCAGGGAAAATTTATTTAAATATTTAAAATAATGATTTTAAAATTAATTATACATTTTAAATATTTAAAAAAATTAAACACATCAATAATACTCATTAATGTTCTATGTCATTTATAATATAAAATGATTTTGCGTTTAGCCCTTTATGATTCTTAAAATTTAAGTAAATATTTATTTATAAAAAATAGTGGTTTATTTGACGACTATCAAGGGTTAAATTAAATAAATAACTTTTATATTAAGATTGTAATTATTATTAAAACATTTTGTAATTACAGCTTAAAGAATACCCTTATGAAAAAAAATTGTATCCGCACACACACACACATACATCCATTTTTTCTAAGGTATGCCAAAATGTTCAGAAACCTCTGAAACATGAAGGTATATAAAAATTTACATTTTCGATTTTTTTGCAATTGCTATAACTTACCCTACGGTAAGTTAACAAATAAATTTTTATGGTATTGGTTTATATATTTCTGCTATGAAGTTTACACTTTACATAAATACAGTGAATATTATGTTATACATAATGAATTTTATAAATTCATATAACAATGGTAATTAAATATTTGAATCATATAAATAGAATATATATATATATATATATATATATATATATATATATATATATATATATATATATATATTATGTCAAATTATAAATGAAATAAATAGATATTTCTTAAATGCGGCTCTGGTGTTCCTCTACAGGTACACGGCAGCACTTCTGTTATAAATAATATCATTAACAGTTTATTTATGTTTGATGTGTGAAAAGCCAAGGATCAATTCATTTTAAAAATTGGACCTTTGAAAAGAAGAAAAAAAGGAAATATTATTTAATTCGTGATTTTAATAATTTGTAGTGGTCTTTCAATAATGCCATGACTTGATAATACTTATTGTGATCTGTGTTTTAATATAAATTACAATACGGTTTTTGGAAAATACAACTTTATGTACACAAAACAATATTGAAGCTTGTATATATTATAGCTGGAATATAATATATTTGGAACATGGATTTTGGAAACAAGAACGAGAATTCTGTGAATTTCAACGTTAGTCACAGTAAGTGAATAAGAATTAATATATAATTTCAGAAAAATTATTTTAGAATGCAAGAGTACAGTGGCGTCGGAACCAAATTTTTGATGGGTGGGCTCGTTTTTTTTTTCTTTTAGATAGACAGCCAGTGGTCTCGTTTTTTTTTTCTTTTAGAGACATTAGCCAATATAATTTTTTGAAATTCATGGGTGGGCTAAGCCCCCCCATCAAAATTCATGGGTGGGCTCAAGCCCACGCAGCCCACGCGGTTCCGACGCCACTGCAAGAGTATATGTTTTGAACATATATATATATATATATATATTATATTCACAAGAAATAATTATTATAAGGTTGTTGTCAGTTATAACAACCCGTTATATAAGAATGAAGTGCTTGAATACAGATTATAAAACATTAATAATAATTATTTCTATACTTCCAATTCATTATAAAAACTAATATTATATAAATACAAACACTTTGAATGACGAATGTAATTAATTCGCAATGTATAAAGTAAATCAGTTCCTTGTTGGGTAACCAGAAATGGAAATTGCTGAACGAGTTTCCGTTCTATGAAAATTGTACTAAAAGCAATTAATTATATTTGTTATTGCTTAACATGCTGATTAATAATGGTAATTTTTTATATATGTTTATATATAAAGCTTGTCATATTTTGGAGATTGAATTATAAACTTAATTTAATAATATTCAACTCAATTCAAAATTAAATATTATGTGTTGTGCAAAAACTTTTTTGCTTATAATTATGAATCTTTACTCCATTTGAATGGTAACAATCTAATTATATATATATATATATATACACACACATATATATATATATATATATATATATATATATATTTATTGATAATAATTAGAACGTGTGATACTTCTTCAAAACCTTAGTTTACTTATAACGCAACTTTCTATATTAATAAACATTGTCATTTACTTAATTTGATAATTAAGTATCTGACAAATATTAATTGATATATACATTTTTATTATTTAAATGAATTTTTCTAATGCTCTTGAAATCAGTTGATTATAACAAAATTATGTTAAAGGAATTTTTTAGTTACATGTAACTAAACTTTTAACATGTAATTACTGTTTAATAAATAATGATAAATTACTGTATAATGTAATAATAAATAATTATTATATTTTTTAGTTAGTTCACTTCTTATAGTGTCCTTAATGCTATTAGGTGATCACAAAACTATTCTAAAGTTTAACTTAATTATCACATAATTCACATTGTTTATTATATTTTGCAATTCTAAATTAAATTTCTCATTTGTCCAAGGCTTGTGGCAAGAATATATTCATTAAGATAAACTATTCAATAATTTTGATGTTGTCATTAATTACTAATAAACATGCAGAATTCAGTTTTAGAAGCGCCCTTAAAACTATTTGTTGATCACAAAATTATTCTAAAGGGGTTTTAACATATTTATTAAACATAATTAAATCCCTACATATTTTTTTTAAACTTATTATACATTACTTTTCATTTTGTTTCTCTGAGTATTTAAAAAAATGCAAAGACCAATTATTTAACCATTTTATGAACAAATTATATTGATACTGTGTTGAAATCATTATAAATATATATGCATTGGAATTGATATGTGTTCGAAATCGATCACTTAGTTAGAAAAGTCAATTTCATCTGCATTTCTACAGTATGCAAAACAACAAAGAATTAGAATATCAGAAACAAGAATATTATCATAGTGGGAGAGCTAATATCATATTTACACACCAAGGGTATATTAATAAAGAGATCTTCCAATTTAGATTCTCTTATTTTTCAATAATTTATATAAATGGAACCTTGCAACAATAAGGCTTCTTTTGGTATAAAATCTTCTATGATCATTATGAACCTAAAACAGAATATAAATTTGTAGTCATATTTTAGAAATTTAATTTAAACTATTATATTTAATAAAATATTTATGATGATAAAAAATAATTGTAAATTAGACATCTAGTTTGAAATATATAAAAAGTAATATGATATAAAAAAATGCGATTTGAAACTAATAAACATGTCTAATATGGTATCATATTAGTTTACAATTTTGAATAATAATCATATAAGTAAAACCTATGTACTTAAAATTGAATGCACAAGCTTTTGTATAATTTTTTTTTTATAAAATAAAGTTTATAAATTTTCAAATGGTAAAGTTTGATTTATTTATTTGATTTTTCCCTACAAATTTTCCACAAGACCTCCGTCTCTAAAGCAAATTTGAGAGAAAGGGAAATATATTTACGGTTGATGTGTTTTACTAGTTTTGCTATCATTTCTACTGAGGTGACCGATTA